TGCTTCCTCATACAAATGATAGATGTGCCAACCAGGAATGAGGCACTGCTGAACTTGCTACTCACAAACCAAGAAAACCTGCTTTGTAATATCTCTGTTAGTGATAGCCTTGGCTGCACTGATCATAATATTGTGGAGTTTGGGATCCAGCTGAGTATGCTGAAGGTTAGTAGTAAGACAAAGGTTCTAGATCTCAGAAGAGCAAACTTCAGCTGGCTCAGAGCTCATCTGGGAGGGCTACCATGGGAAGCTTACATGGTAGATAGAGAAGCTAATGAGTGCTGGAAGTTTTTCAAGAATGCTCTCCTGGAAGCACAAAAGCAGTTCATCCCCTTTAAAAGGAAGGGAAGTAGGCAGAGCAAGAGAACCCCTTGGCCTAACTGTGAGTTTCTGAGTCTGCTCAAAATCAAGAGAAGCATACCAGAGATGGAAAAACAGACAAATAACTGTTGAGAGCTATAAGAGCATTGTTAGGGTGCACAGAGATGCAGTTAGAAAAGCAAAAGCTCAATTTGGATTGAAATTGGCCAGAGATGTTGTGGGAAAATCACTTGGTGGGGGGATGAATTAGAGAAAACTGGGGTCTAACAGGAGCTATAGTGTTACAGAAACTTTTTTAGGGTAAAATACAGTTGCCACTTCCAGGATGGTTGGCATGCACAGAATGGCATGGTTCTTTGGGCAACGTAACCTGCCATCTTAGAGGAGAAATGGAAGGTAGCGCAGAGTGGAGACACTGTGGCCAGGATCTGTTGTTCTGCCTGCAGCATTGGGAACTTGATGCTACCATACAGCTGATAAGCCACGTAGCAGATGTCAAATGGAAAACATAAGAGAAGATGTCTGTTGCTGAGCCGGCACCTGTGACAAAATCACTTCCCTTAGGTGAACCTTGCTCATTATAATCTCATTGTAATACTAATGCACACCTCCATCCCAAAGTTACCCACCTCCAAGGTATGACCACTCCTCACTGAGCATGAGCTCTATATTTTATCGGCTATATCTTTAAGAGAAAAGAGAGAGAATTTTACACCAGTGAATAATAAAAGAACGTATGGCTAGTCATTCAAGTTCCACGTGAAAGTAGAGTATAAAAGTGGATGAGAGGGGAGGAGATAGGGAAGGCTCCATTGTAACTTCTGGGATCAGTCGACAAGCTGAACCTGTCTTCTCCCTCATAGGGATGCCTATTGGGTAAGAACTTTATCTTATGCACACTCAATAAATCATAGAATCATAGAATAGTTAGGGTTGCAAAGGACCTTAAGATCATCTATTTCCAACCCCCCTGCCATGGGCAGGGACACCTCCCACTAAATAACTCACTGTAGCTGTTATTAGTGATTATAGTCTGATTGTGTATCACTTCAAGCTTGTTTTTGCAGACAGTCCCTGTCACCGGCAATCTCTGAACCTTGTCACAAACTTGTATTTTGTATAATTAAAGACTTCAACTGAAGTTGGTTCTGTGTAAGTTTCCAGAGACTTGAATGATCGAAATAAGATATTTGACTCAGTGATAATGTTGATGAAGGTCCCTGAATAGATTAGACAAATCACCCTTCTGTTCGATGAGCTGTCTAGTAACAGGATGCTAACAGACTGGTCAGGCACAAGGCATTCTTTTGTGGGAAACTGGCAGGCTGGTCAAATATAAAGGTGTCCTGGGTTCAGCAGTAGCAGTCATTTTTCTCCTTAGTAGCTGGTGCAGTGCTGTGTTTTTGACTTTCAGCCTGGGAACTGTGCTGATAACACCAGTGTTTTTAGTTGCTGCTTAGCAATGTTTAGTCTGACCAAGGACTTTCTGATTCTCGTGCTCTGCCAGGGAGGAGGGGAAGCCAGAAGGAAGCAGAGACAGAACACCTGACCCAAACTAACCAAAGACGTATTCCATACCACAGCACGTCATGCCCAGGATGTAGAACTGGGGACAGTTACCCAGAAGGGCTAGATCACTGCTTGGTCGGGCTGGGCATCGGTCGGCGGGTGGTGAGCGGTTGTATTCTCTTCCCTTGTTATTTCCCTTATCGTTATTATTACTGGTGGTAGCAGTAGTGGTTTGTGTTATACCTTAGTTACTGGACTGTTCTTATCTCAACCCATGGGAGTTACATTCGTTCGATTCTCCTCCCCATCCCTCCGGGAGCTGGGGGGAGGAAGGGAGGGGGAGTGAGCGAGCGGGCTGCTTGGCTGAATTACTAGCTGGGCTTAAACCATGACAAAAGGGCTCAAGAAAACCCCATTGTAATGTGAGAGTATTGGCGTGCAGGACAAATTTGGACAAGAAGGTGCAAGCATTACACAATCCTTAGCCATAAACTGTTGACCAGTTCTGAGACTGGGGTAGGATCCAGCTGCACACAGACCCTCTAATATTCAGTATATGTTAATAGACATCTTCAATCCAGTGACCTTGCAGATGTCTGCAAATACAGCAGCTGATGTAATTTAATATACATATTCAGTGTAGTTTATAACGTTAAAATACCCATAAATCTTTTCTATCTGTTGCATCATCACAAGGCAAGGGTTGGACAGAACAATTCATGGTTTGTGCTCCTTCCTTCCCCACTTACCCTTGCAAAAAGTATACTTTCAAGGGGAGAAGCACTTTAAAAGTTGGGAAAATATTTATTTATGAACACTTTTATCCTTAGTTGGAACTGCAGAGCAAGAGAATACTTGAGGGTATCATACTTCCCAATTCTGTAAAGGCATCAGCTATATTATGATTTTTCCAAATTGTATCCTTCATACAAGAAATAGAAGGCTCGATGACTTTTCATTAAAATCCAAATTTTAATCAAATTGAAGGTGTCTCAGTGAAATAAATTTACTTCTAGTGCAAATCAATTCTATGGAACTACAAATTTAGATTGTAGTCTAGTTTTGCTGCACTTAATATTACTTAGACCCACTTATATAAAAACTTTATTACTTCTAGACAAACCTGAAAAAACTAGCTCAAACTAATTTGACAGAACAATAAAGCATTATTGAAAAGTGACATTCACAGACCTTTGGAAGCTTGCAGCATGACACTTTGCATGGATATGCAAAGGAAATGACAGAATATGGGTTTTATATAGAACATGAATTTCTTAATGCAAAACACTCAGTATCTTTTATACTTAATACTAGGAAGCCAATGTTACTTTTTATATTAAAAAAAAACCCAAACCAAACAAAAAATCCACCAGCACCCCCCCCCCCCCATCAAAAAAACAACAAACCAACCAACCAAGCAAACTAAATAACCCATCCTCCAGAATTTCATCTGTACTGCAAAAACTGCTGACTGGTCATCCAGAGCACTGATCGCACATATTAGCAATCATAGAATCATAGAATAGTTAGGGTTGGAAAGGACCTTAAGATCATCTAGTTCCAACCCCCCTGCCATGGGCAGGGACACCTCACACTAAACCATATCACCCAAGGCCTCGTCCAACCTGGCCTTGAACACTGTCAGGGATGGAGCATTCACAACCTCCCTGGGCAACATATTCCAGTGCCTCACCACCCTAACAGTAAAGAATTTCTTCCTTATATCCAATCTAAATTTCCCCTGTTTAAGTTTTAACCCATTACCCCTTGTCCTGTCACTACAATCCCTCATGAATAGTCCATACCCGTCATCCCTATAGGCCCCCTTCAGATACTGAGGTCTCCAAGCAGCCTTCTCTTCTCCAGGCTGAACAGCCCCAACTTTCTCAGCCTATCTTCATATGGGAGGTGCTCCAGTCCCCTGATCATCCTTGTGGCCCTTCTCTGGACTTGTTCCAACAGTCCTTTTTATGTTGAGAACACCAGAACTGCACACAATACTCCAGGTGAGGTCTCACAAGAGCAGATTAGAGGGGCAGGATCACCTCCTTCGACCTGCTGGTCACGCTCCTTTTGATGCAGCCCAGGATACAGTTGGCTTTCTGGGCTGCAAGCGCACTCTGCCGGCTCATGTTCATTTTCTCATCAACCAGCACCCCCAAGTCCTTCTCCACAGGGCTGCTCTGAATCTCTTCTCTGCCCATCCTGTAGCTGTGCCTGGGATTGCTCCGACCCAGGTGTAGGACCTTGCACTTGTCATGGTTAAACTTCTTAAGGTTGGCATCAGCCCACCTCACAAAGTGTGTCAAGGTCCCTCTGGATGGCATTCCTTCCCTCCAGCATATCAACCGAAACACAGAGCTTGGTGTCATCGGCAAACTTGCTGAGGGTGCACTCAATCCCACTGTCCATGTCAGTGGCGAAGATGTTAAACAAGACTGGTCCCAACACCAATCCCTGAGGGACACCACTCGTTACTGGTCTCCAGCTGGACATTGAGCCATTGACCACAACTCTTTGCGTGCGGCCATCCAGCCAGTTCTTTATCCACTGAGTGGTCCATCCATCAAACTGATGTCTCTTCAATTTAGAGACAAGGATGTCGTGTGGGACAGTGTTGAACGCTTTACACAAGTCCAGGTAGATGACATCAACTGCTCTACCACAGGCTCCAGAAAAGCAGAAATGTTGGCAGCCAGCTGGTGAACAGGAACTCCATGCAGAGTGGAGTGAGCTGCATAGTTCAGAATACACAAAATGTTTTAGAAAAGCTGAAGAAGAGCAAGAACTATCCTTGTATATATTTGCATCACATTTCAACACTTATAGTCCCCCAAATAATCCACTGAGTGGGAACATGGCCCCACTCACTCTTCCATCCCACCAGGGCAGTATGTCATGTCTTACGGTTAATTGTATAGACCATACATCTACAATCACAGGCAGCGTTTAGTCCCTCTGACACACCAAGTCTTCTTTCATCAGCAAATGAGCTGTTGCAATTGTGAACACTACCATTCCTCAGAATATTTTTGAGGAACAAATGATTTCTTTCCTGGTCTTGGTGGTTATATTGCTTATCATCATAATGCACCAAAGTTGCAAGCTGGGCATTTAAGTTCTATGAACTATCCATACATAGTTCGACAGACAACATAAAGGAGACAGAATCGACGTTCAAAAAACTAATTTTAATCAAAACAAGAAATTGTTGATCATTAACAAGTATATAAAACAGTGATTTAGTTAAATAAATTAATATCAGTGTATCAAATCTTAATTACTTTCAACTTCATGAGCATGTTTACATGGGTGATGAAGTACAACCTTTTTACCTATAATAATAAATAAAATGGAGAGCATGAAATAGTTTTTTCAAAAAAAAATACCTGCAAACATACCCCTAGCATGTTCTCTGATGAAAGGAACAAGAGACACTAGACAACTTTTGCATCAAAACATAAAAACTGCTTAAAAAATAATACAAGGATACAGAACCAACAGCTAAAGTAAAGACACTATACTGTAACCAAAGTTGTTATTTAATAATATAATGAATGGTTTGGTAGTTAGATCTCCAGTTTGGTTATTTTAAAGCATTAAGAAAAGGCAAGATAGAAGGCTGCTTTTGTTTGAGCAATTCTAGAGAAAATAAAATATATTAAAAAAGACAAACGGAAAAGTAGAACAGTTATAACTACACAACTTTGTCCTGCACAAAGTCAAAATACCTATGCAGAATATATATATATTTGTGCACAAAGGTTAGCTTATTATTAGCTCACTGCAAAGGCATAATGTATCGTGTCGATCATTTTGCATTTTGTGTCAAAAAGGATATTTCTCTAAGTTTCCTAGGCTAGGTGGCACAAAACCTGGTTCTAGCATACTGTAGCAGCTAAGGATTGCTGCTCTGGCTGTGTACTTTTTGTTATCCCTCTTTAGTACAGTGACTGTAGCAAGAATTTGTGTATACATATATATTTATATAAAATTTCCCCCAATAGGCACCAGTCCAACCATGCAAACCAAAAGGTGGCTCTGCATAGATGCCCAGCATATAGTTCACCACCTGAGAAGCAAGGCGCACTTTAGACCTTCAGATAGGTTTTCGTTTTTGTTTAAAACCAAGGTACTGCAGGTTCAAGTATTTTGTATTACATAGGTTTTCTTGGTTTTATAAATTAATGTTATATTTTTTCAATATTCAGACATATACTAGAACATATATACACTACAATAAATGCTCTCATTATTTTTAATTTTTTTTTTTATAAATCCCTGAGAATGTATGTTGACAGTCGCTAAGTTTCCACATGCACAAGCATTGTGTGCCATGCTTCTGGATGAACAGAACTGCAAAGCCATGTGGTCAGCCTCTTAACTGTATTTCATTTGTTGGTTTGTTTAAATATGCTGAAATGTAAGGATGAGTTACAAGGGAGTAAAGCTGAATCCATTTGAGGTACTTATCACAAGATGGAGGTGTTTGGTTTGGTTTTTAAAGCCATTGCAATATATGTTTTTTTTTGAGGCTCTGAACACATAGAAAAAGGAGAGCGATGTGGGCTTTTGCCACTTGACAACATATACTCAGTGTAAACCAAACCTTTTTTAACCTCTCTCTCACACAAAACAGAAAAAAGGGAAAAAAATAAACACACTTTTACAACATGACAGTTCAGTTTGCAAACTCAGTATAATGATAGACATATAATACCAGTGTGGCTCTGTTCCTTTAAGTTCAAAAGGATACAAAGGCAGGCTCAAAGCTCAAGTAAAAACAAATCCCCCCTCCATATTTTCATCAACCAAACCTCTCACGAACCAACATCATCAGTTTCTTTTTGCCTTTGTAGATTTGTTTTAGGTTGTCAATAAACTGTGCAAACTGGATGTGTCCATCATGAGCCATTAAGAAGGTCTCTCGGGCCTTGCTGAGGAACTCTATAAACTCACTATAGTGTCGCGGGCTGATGTGAGTGAGACGTGAATGTGTTGTATTAATGTAGGCTCCAATTGTGGCATCCAGGAGTTGTCTTAAAGGGGCTTTGTCCAATGACATGATCTTACCAGAGTTCCTCCTTCCATGAAGTCCCACCATGCCAGGAGTGGTCAAAGTACACCTACGCAAAATATCTGACAGTACTGTTGCACATTTGACACTTTTGACCATCAGAGGTATTATAGCTGCCAGTTCATTTTTCCCAAGGGAGTGGCTGAGTGCACATGCCCACAGAACATCATTAATGGCAGGGTGTGTGTCCTGATTGTAGCTCAGGTTGAGATGCGTTATGGCCAAAGTGGCCAGCTTGTATGCCCGCATGGGGTAACCACGGTGCTCCATGTATCTTGCTATAGTAAAAAGCTGCGAGTAACTCATGCTAGTTGTAGCAGCATCTAGAACAATTTGGTAAGCGGTCTCAAAAGCTATGTGATCCTTTTCACATAAGGTCAGTGCAGATAGGGCACAGTTTTGAGGATCCTTCATAGCACACTGTAGAGCAAGCGTCCTAGCGCTGCTGGCCAGCTTCTCCTGCTGATGGCAGTCCAGATGCAAATGGATAATGGTGCTGTTGGACATCACTGTGGTAGCAACAATACTAGTAGCTTCTGTTGGAGTGAAAAGTGTAAACCAGTTTTGCATGATACTATCCAGTGCATAAACACCTGGGGAGAAAGAAAGGATCAGGCACAACTGATAAAACCTAGCAGATACAGATCATAGAATCATAGAATCACAGAATCATAGAATCATAGAATGGTTAGGTGTTCAGCAAAAGATTACATTTTCAAAGTCTAACAGGTTGCCTGTACATCCAAGGAGATGTGCTTCAGGCAAGAAGGGCTAAACCAGATAATATGGTTGGAAAAGGACATTAAAACAAAGGCTACTGTGCAAACTCTGTAGCAATCACTATAATGCAGATAATAACTAAAAAGCCTGCAAGATAAGCTTTAAACTCCTGGTATGACAAGTGAGCTGTTTATCTAAGACAATTTGGATAACAAATTCTGGCTTATTTGAACTCATCACATGACTCAAAAGCAGCCTTCACACTTAAAAGACAATTTTAACTACCTTTCTCAGTGTTCATCTCAAGATATAGTGAGTGTATGCACAAAAGACTATGAAAGAACACTAAATGTCTCATTTAATAGAACATCATAGACTTTAATACTAAGCACACACACACACACACACAAATCCTTACCCCCACTCCCTCCCAACAGGCTTTTCAGATACATCTTGTATCAAATTCATGTGCACCCGAATTTCCTTATAATGGAAATACTCTGAGCAATATTCACTACTTGATATTACCTGAAATAGATATTTTCCTTCGTATCACTTTATTCCTGGCACATGTGTGTGGTGGTGGGGAAGAAGGGGGAAAGAGTGACTAATGGGTTCCATGAATTGAGTCTTATAGCCAACTAGAGTGCCTTATTATTGATAGAGGCAGTTTACACATATCTGTGAGCCCACCTAAATCACACCCAGAGGTCCTTTTGTCCATAGGATTCTGATGTTTCCTGTGCACCATTTCACTTGTGCAAAATTTCAGCATAGTCAGAAAATATCAGATCTTCATCTAAATAATCATAGAATCATAGAATAGTTAGGGAGGAGGGGAAACCAGGAGGAAGCAGAGACAGGATACCTGACCCAAACTAACCAAAGGGGTATTCCATACCACAGCACATCATGCCCAGTATATAAACTGGGGGGAGTTACCCAGAAGGCCCAGATCGCTGCTCAGGTTGGGCTGGGTATTGGTCAGCAGGTGGCAAGTGGTTGTATTCTCTTCCCTTGTTATTTCCCTTATCATTATTATTATTGGTGGTAGCAGTAGTGGTTTTGTGTTATACCTTAGTTACTGGACTGTTCTTATCTAACCCTGTGGGAGTTACATTTTTTCGATTCTCCTCCCCATCCCTCCGGGAGTGAGGGGAAGAAGAAGGGGGGAGTGAGCGAGTGGCTGCGTGGTTCTGAGTTACCAGGCTTAAACCATGACAACTAATTTAAAGCAACATTAAAAACAATATTTTATTATTTGCCAACATGTAACTTCACAAAATAATACCCAGGAACTAATATCTACAAGATACACTCAGTAATAATTTCCTTAGCAAAGATGTAAAAACAATAAAACAAGAGCATTGCATGAAAATTTGCAGACAATTTTCTGGCTGAGGGCATACAAAGGCAAGCTTTATTTTCCCATGCTAGTAACAACATGAATTTCCCAGAGAATAAGCAGCAGCAATCCTTTAAAGTTCTGAAACTCAAGATTTATGAAAAAGTAGTAAATACAGTAGGGAAGCATACTTTCCAATATTACCTTTAGTGGCAATTAAAATTGCTCCCTTATCATAGTACTGACATTGTCCTCACTACCATAGTTTTTAATGCTCGCATCTTCACTTTCAGATTCTGTATCCTCATCTTGCAGATGACAAACCAGAATATAGAAGTGTCCTCTGTTCAGCACTGAACCCAGGACAAGAAGCTAAGGGATGCCTCATCAAAACACACAAGAAATTTATGGCAAAACCCAAAAATTAACATAGCGTCCTGCTGAGTGCACTATTTTCCCACTATGGTCCTCTAAGTATGAAGCTAGTTCTTCTCCCACCTTATATTCACCTCACATGGATGGGTGCATTAATGTTTGGTTTGCTTTCCAGTGCAGATGAAAGGCAGGCCACTATGTCATAGCCACATGTCGTGGTTTAAACCCAGTCAGGTAATTCGTTCGCTCACTTCCCCCCCTTTCTTTCCCTCCCCCTGCTCTCGGAGGGACGGAGAGGAGAATCAAAAGAATGCAACTCCCACGGGTTGAGATAAGAACAGTTTAGTAACTAAGGTATAACACAAATCACTACTGCTACCACCAATGATAATAATGATAAAGGAAATAACAAGGGAACAGAATACAACACCTCACCACCCGCTGACCGATAACTCGCCCCCCAAGCCCGACCAAGCTCTGACCGATACCTCCTCCAACCCTGCAGTCTCCCAGCCCTTCCGGCTAACTCCCAGTTACATCCTGGGCATGACGTGCTGTGGTATGGAATAGCTCTTTGGTCAGTTTGGGTCAGGTGTCCTGTCTCTGCTTCCTCCTGGCTTCCCCTCCTCCCTGGCAGAGCATGAGGCTCACAAAGTCCTTGGCCAAACCAAAACATCTCTATCAGCTCTGTTCCCGAGCCGAAAGTCAAAACACTGCACTGCACCAGCTACCAAGGAGGAGAAACATGACTGCTACTGCTGAACCCAGGACACCACATAACAATGATGCACTGCACTCTAAGCTTGGATTTACCCAGGTGTCGTTGTTTAAACCCAGCCAGACAGCTCGTTCACTCACTCCCCCCTTTTTCCTCCCTCTTTCTTTCATTACCCCTCCTTCCCCGCTCCCAGAGGGATGGGGAGGAGAATCGAAAGAATGTAACTCCCATGGGTTGAGATAAGAACAGTCCAGTAACTAAGGTATAACACAAACCACTGCTTCTACCACCAATAATAATAATGATAAGAGAAAATAACAAGGGAAGAGAATACGATACCACCCGCCAAAAATGAGTCCGACCCAGAAGACCCCGTGTCCTTCCGGGTAACTCCCAGTTACCCTCCCGGGCATGATGTGCTGTGGTATGGAATACCTCTTTGGCTAGCTTGGGTCAGGTGTCCTGTCTCTGCTTCCTCCCGGCTTCCCCTCCTCCCTGGCAGAGCATGAGACTCACAAAGTCCTTGGTCTGGGTAAACATTACTTAGCAACAACTAAAAACATCAATGGTATCAGCACTGTTCCCAGGCTGAAAGTCAAAACACAATGCTGCACCAGCTACCAAGAATGAGAAACACTGACTGCTACTGCTAAACCCAGGACACCAGGGCTTTAAAAAACAAAACTGAGAAAACAAACAGCAAGCAATGATTGCCCCTTCATGAGATGGTCTGCCACACAGAGACATCCTCAGCATTTCATTCACCTGTTTTCGGGTTCCTCTTCCCCACAGCTGACCAGATAGATAGCACGCTCACCAGATTTTTTGAGTCTCACCTTTCAGTGCAAGTGAAGTTGTAGAATGGTGTAACAGCCCATAACCATGAGCCTTTTCTCTGCTGTAGCCTCAAACCCAAACCCAGTGTGGAGGGGACAAGGAGAAATCTAGGGTATTTCTCATGAGGTTATGCATGCCCCTACATTGCAGGGAAAAGAAGTCACTCTGCATTACTCAACTATTGTTGCACTTGGCTTGTGTTTATTCTATCACATGCTCAAAAAACCCACTCATCATTGCCATAATTAATGTCTTATAACCAAAGGAATTTTATAGATGAACAGGAAGTGGGAGACATTTGCAGAGCCTGGGTCCTCACAAACAAGATCAAGCCCTCTGGCTGACAAAAAAGCAGGAGCCCTTGAGAAGCATCTCAAAACATACCTATTTCTGTTGCACATGTTACTAACCACCTCACCATTTCCCGCCGTCGCCAATTCAGTGTTGACAGTGTCATCCGCATCACCTATTAGAACAACACAAATAAAATACAAATTAATCCTATTGCAAAATGAAGACAATATACCAGCAATTAGGGAGTCAAGTTACTCAAATACACTGAGGTTCAAAAAGGCAGCCTCTTGCCCTCTCCACTCTGTTACTTCTTTTTAGTTGATATGTCAAAAGACTTGATAAATAGTGCTCAACTATCTTAGAAAAGCATACAGAGTAATTCCAACTACAGGTCCTTCAAGGCCAGAGGAGAAACTCTGTTTTATTCAGGGAGAGGAACACCCCCCTCCCCCTCCCAAAATACACTACAAAAAAGCCCAATCAATAACCAATTATCCAAACTAAATTATATTGTGTCTCCTCCCTCTATGTATTTAGTCTTTAAAGTGTGTATTGGGTTTTTGTGGCAAGGTTTTGGTAGTGGGGGGCTACTGGGGTGGCTTCTGTGAGAAGCCACTAGAAGCTTCCCCTGCGTCCAATAGAGCAAATACCAGCTGGCTTGAACACAGATCTGCCACTGGCCAAGGCCGGGTCTGTCAGTGATGGTGGCAGCACATCTGTGATAACATATTTAAGAAGGGGAAAACGTTATTGCACAGGAGCAATTGTAGCCAGAGAGATTAGTGAGAATATGTGAGGGAAAAAACTGTAGACACCAAGGTCAGCGAAGAAGGAGGGAGAGGAGGTGCTCCAGGTGCTGGAAAAGAGATTCCCCTGCAGCCCATGATGAGGCAGTCTGTCCCCTGCAGCCCATGGAGGTTAACAGTGGACCAGACATCTATCTGCAGCCTGTGGAGGACCCCATGCTGAAGCAGGTGGCTGTCCGAAGGAGGCTGTGACCCTGTGAAAAGCCTGCACTGGAGCAGGCTCCTGGCAAGACCAGTGAACCTGTGGAGTGAGAGGAGCCCACTCTGGAGCAGATTTGGTGGCAGGACTTGTGATGCCATGGGGAACTCATGCTGGAGCAGTGTGTTCCTGAAAGATTTCCCCATGGAAAGGACCTGTGCTGGAGCAGTTTGTGGAGAACTGTAGCTCACAGGAGGACCCACACTGGAGAAGTTCATGGAGGACTGTCTCCTGTGGGAGGGACCCCATGCTGGAGCAAGGGAAGAATGTGAGGAGTCTGTCCCTGAGGAGGAAGAAGTGGCAGAAACAATGTGTGATGAACTTGACCACAACCCCCATTCCCTGTCCCCCTTCACCACCTGGGGGAAGGAGGTAGAGAAATTGGAAGTAAAGTTAAGTTCAGGAAGAAGGGATAGGTGGAGGGCAGGTGTTTTAAGATTTGGTTTTATTTCTCGTTACCCTACTCTGATTTGGTTGGTAATAAATTAATTTCCTCAAGTTGAGTCTGGTTTGCCAGTGATGGCAATTGGTGAGTGATCTCTACCCATCCTTATCTTGACCCACGAGGCTTTCATTATATTTTCTCTCCCCCATCCAGTTGAGGAGGGAAGTGATGGAGTGGCATCCAGCCAGGGTCAGCCCACCACAAAATGTGTTAACTCTTGTTGAGCAAACTAACTCATCTAATTTTTCCCCCATCTGCATTTTTTTCATTGACTTCAACAATACAGAGAGGAGTTAGAGTGTACTGTGATTTAACTGGCTGCTTATGCTGCGATGTTATATATACACACTTCTAGATATATCCGGATATTATTAGTAAGTTGAAGAGATGATTTTGCTCTCTGAAGAACAAGTCCTTGCAAAGAAGTTCCACCATAAAACCGTCATAGAAAAAAGGACTATACACTCTGATTACAGTGCCTGTATTTCACATAATTTGCTATTATTGCTTATGTTGTTTCTCAAAATGTGGACAAATATGTTTATGCAGTAAAATGAACACTGCATGGAAGTTTCATGGAAAGCTTGTTTCAGCTGACTGGACAGACTCCACAGATGTCTAGATGAAGAAAGCAAATAGTTTTCCCCTTACAATATCATTGATCATACTGTGGTATTACTATTTGTAGCAATTAAACAAAGAGCATAATAGGTCAGTCAGAGCTTTCAGTGATGATCATTACATGTTAACTCATAAAATGCACTCAGAAAACAGCTTGGAGTCAGCAAAATTTGTAAGAGCTTTTGTAAGAGTTTTTGACCTGAAAAAGTTTCCTGACTTGAACTGTTCTGGAATTAGGTACCTTTCATTTGATTAAACTGGCAATTGGGGGGACTAAGAGAGGAACCCTTTACTGAAGATAAAAAAAAAAAAAACAAGGATTTAAAATAAAGCATATATTGATGTCTTGACCACAGAGAAGCTGAAGTTCATTTATACTGTAGGGCATGTAGCCAAAGAACTATTTCACTTCTGCTCAATATGTTCTTGAGCCACTTCTTCCTAAAAGGGAGTTCCAGATCTGTTCAAATTCTATCCAATATCTGTGCTATCAATTGAAGAGAGCTTCTCAACAGGTTAGTAAGTCTGAAAATGACAAGAAACCCCTGGGAATTACATAGCTTATCTAAAAGCTAAGCTCTCTTTCACAGAGAATACAGAGAATAACCTTGACTTTGTCCTGATGGATCTTTTTTTGTTTTGTTTTTTTTTTTAATAAGAATTTCTTGTTCTAGAGGAACAGATGATCTCACTACCCATAAGAGAAGCAGATTTCCACAGCAACCATGGGAATAAGAAAGGCTAACAAAGCAAACAATGTCAGCTTTCTGATTAAAGACTTCTAAAAGTCTAGAATAGGCAAATAGTACCTTTCTTTGGCATGAGAAGCAACTGGAATAATATCCTTTCCCCAGAAGTGTTTGGGGCTTTGTTTACTGAAGCAAAGTAATAAATGGTTTTCTGTTCTTTGCATTTTTTGCTTGTTTGGAGTTTTTAATTGTTTTTAAGAACTCCCTGAAGAGGGATAGAGAGATCTATTTTTGTTGAAATGAACTGTGTAAACTACAAGATTCATCAGTATAAAGCAATATTACTCCAGATATCAAAAAAAAAATTAGCTTTCTCTTTGTAGCTTGTGAAGTCTCTCCTGAGAGCCTGAAAACTGATCTGAGGTTTGTGTACATGTCAAGCTGAGTCTGATACAGATGACCATCCTGCAGCTTGTGGAGTGCAGGATTTTATGAAGTGAAAGGGCTGCTGTTTGCACAGTCTGCCTTAGAAACAGGTCATTATGGTTGACCTTGGCTTTCTCCAGGAATTCAACAAGCACCTACCAAATCTCATTTGAAGGAAAAGAGGAAAGGATGGGAGAAATGATAAGAAGCCCCTCAAAGCCATGGAAAAGATCTGCAAAAATGCATTTCTGGCAAGCAGAATAATTTTGCTCTCTAGCCATTCCTACATATACTCCCAAACCCACTGTATTAGTCCTCTCATCCCTTAACAGGAGTGCCCTGCAGACAGCTGCTTCCAGCTCTCTCTTTCCACTCAAATGGTACAAAGGTGCAGATCCTTGCTCTGTGTTTACCAGTCAACTGTGCTTTGCATCAGAAAATGGAATCAAAAAGTTCCAGACAGAGCCCAAAGAGGGTATGTTCCTAAGTGACTTAAAGAGCTGCACCCACCAACACGGGGTAAAATTTCTGTCTTCTACTGCAGTAACAATGAATGAGGGAAATACCTGAAGGCCCAACTCCAGAGAAACTTTCAGAAGAGTGATATCTGGCAAGCTGTCCATGAGTGTTGCTATTTTAAATGCATCCTGGGCAAGTTTGAAGATGTGTGATGAGGAGTGGATATTTTTCTGTATGGATTCTAACACTGTTTCCAGCCTCCGAACATCACCTGCAATGTGTGAACAGAATCACCAAAACAAAACAAGCTCCCAAAACATCCAGAAATGCCTTATAATCGAGCCAGCCATTGCTATGCAATAGTACGTTTCAGTTACACACATTTTGTTTTTATAAACCTGCCATAATTAAATTATGTGAACAAAAGATACAAGGCAGCACAAACTCCTCTAGTGCCTGCCTGATGGTACATGGCCAAAAGTCATCCCAATTTGTGAAATTTAAAAGTGATTTTTCCACTCCTGGATTTCACAATCTATATCATATGTCAGAACAAAAAGCTGTCCCATGAGTGTCAATTAAAGCTACCATGTAGCTAGTTTAAACCACTTTGCTAGAAAATTGACAGGTTTAAGTCAGTTCAGTTTGTTGTTCCCATTTCAAGCTCCTGTCAGATTGTGATTTGGATTCCCAAACTTGTGCTTATTACATGTAATATTAAAAGCATACATTTAGTTGAGTATGTAACTGACAGCAATGTACCTTTGGCTGCTGTTAGCATGGTCGATGCCAGCTCACACTGCTGGGATTCGATGTGACTTAGGGTGAACCAGTGGGGATACCGGTTTGGAACAATTGATGCAATGTGGTGTGGGTGGGACATGTCTCCCGAAGGAGCTGTAGATTCCAGTACTAGCAAACTGAAATAAGGAAGAAATCATCTTTCATTAAATCATTATTATATTAGGTTACTCATAAGCAAAACTAAAGCTGCAAGAACACTTGACCTTGTTTATGAAATGTGTAGTTTTGGGTATAAAGGTATTGAAAACCACTTCTCTTCTTGGGGAATCTTAAAAGTCCATTTGCCAAACTTGCCTAAATCAATGGGCATCTGTAGGAATTCACAGGACAATTAAGCCATCCATTGGCCAAGGCAGTAGAGACTTTCTGTATCATCCATAGAGTTGAAGCTTTTTTCTCTCGCCTTGTTTCAGTCTTTGAATATTTGGAATACTTTCTTTACTTGCAGATGCTCAAACTAAGGGAGAGGGATATTCAACAAGTCATTTGGATTTTGACCTTGCAATAATTTCAGGCCTACCAAAAGGACATTTTACTGCTCAAATATGAACTAGTTTTTAAGGTCCTTAAACTCTACCTACCAACATTTGATAATGTGCACACTAATATGAAAAAAAGACCTTTTTGATTTGTATCAAGTCAAATCTCTTCCCTAGTACCACTGAGACACCTCTTTACATAGCTTTATATACCTAAAATAAAACAGATATAAATTCTTTAGCTGATTTCTTTTTCCAAGCAGAGAGAGGGAGAAGAAAAAAAGATGCATTATAAAATGTTTCAAATAAACAGGAAAAATATGAACTACATAATGCAAAAAGGATTTTTAGGTTATGAGTAAAAGTAAATAGACAAAAAGCATGAAAGGAAGAAGCTGTTTGAGGGAAATCTTGTCACTTTGAATTTCATTGCCAGCTTCTATGTTTCTTTGCTGTGAAAAAAGAAATACTGTTGTGAATTGGTGGTTTTCATGCAATTTTGGCAAGATTAGGGAACATCATAACAATAACAAGCAGATTTAGCATTCTTCACTTTTTTTCCCTTTAGAGCATCAATTATTTGGCTAAGTTTTAGCAAAGCTACTTTGTGATTAAACATCACCATTAAAGACTTACTCCCAAAGCCTAGGTTGAAATTCAGGCTTCACAAGGTATTAGCCAAATTAAGCTAAATATTGAAGTCCAAATTCCAAGTGAGTAGTCAACTAGGTCACCACAGATCCACATTCTCTGATGCTCTACTCTATATGTTTCAGTGTTGCAAGCAGACAGACTGTAGACAGAAGTGACCATCAAGAACAGCAAACCCTATCCTTGCAGAACTGAGGTGCATGCATGAAAGGCCTTATGGTCTCAGATTCCATTGAATTCACACTGAATGTTCCACACACTAAAAGAGGAATAAAAAAATAAACAGCAACACGGGATTTTGAATACAGATAGACAAAATATTCCAGAGTTGCCATCATAGGTCAGTGACCTGTGTAGACACTTATGTCTGGAAAGCAACTAGCTGTACTCTTGGAAAGTAAACTTCTTTGATAAATGTTCAGGAGAAGAAAGAAATATGCTTGACTTCTAAAAGCATAAGCAAGTGCACAGACTTCTATGTGCAAATATTATACCCCAGCCATGGAGGAAGGGATGCTCAAATTTACCTCTTCTGATCAGAGAATCATAGAATCAGAATGGTTAGGGTTGGAAAGGACCATAAGATCATCTGGTTCCAACCCCTCTACCATGGGCAGATGTGTACGGATGTGAGGGCAAATCTAGTTGCAATATCTGTCACTCCACTGATCGCCAGGGTTGATTCAGCTGATCTGGCTGGCTAGGCAGGTGTCCCCTTCCTCCCTCACTGCTCCACGTGCGTCCCTCTCAAAAATGTGTGCTCAGTCAAAGAGGATGGTACTGTTCATTGGGCACGGGTATATGGTAGCTGTGCTCCCCTTCTAGAACCTCCAAACAAGCTCATGGTCCAGTTGTAGGAGAACCATGTAGAGTAGTCAAGCTTCCAAGACTGCAGACACATCCAAGTGAGGCACTGCACATGGCAGTCTGCCATTGTTTAAATTCATCCCTCGATCATGAGCCCATCTATATGTTGTATCTCTGCCCTGATGGCCTGAAGTATCATGGGCTCACCAGGCCAAAAATAATTCACCTTTATGTTGCCAATCTAAGTCCATCTGAGCCACTTCAATCTTAGCCGCTTTATCCACTTGTTGGTTGCTCTGGTGTTCCTCAGAGGCCTGACTCTTGGGTACGTGGGCATCTACATGGTGTACCTTCACCACCAGGTTCTGCACCATGGCAGCAATATCTTTCCACAGTGCAGCAGCCCAGATGGGTTTACCTCTGCGTTGCCAGTTGCTCTGCTTCCATTGCTTCAACCACCCCCACAGGTCATTTGCCACCATCCATGAGTCAGTATAAAGTACTGGCCATTTGTTTTTTGTTGTTCAGCAATGTCCAAGGCCAGCTGGATGGCTTTTATCTCTGCAAGTTGACTCGATTCACCCTCTCCTTCAAAAGTTTCTGCGACTTGCCTTAGGGGACTCTATGCAACTGTCCTCCATCTCCGATTCCTTCCCACAATACAGCAGGACCCATCAGTAAACAAGGCATACTGCTTTTCACTTTCTGACAGTTTATATATGGTGGGGCCTCTTCAGCACGCATCACCTCCTCCTCTGGTGACATTCCGAAATCTTTGCCCTCTGGCCAGTCCATGATGACTTCCAGAATGCCTGGATGACTGGGATTTCCTGTTCGAGCTCGTTGTGTAATTAGTCCAGCTCATTTACTCCATGTAGCATCAGTTGCATGATGTGTAGAGAAGACCCTGCCTTTGAACATCCAGCCCAGCACAGGCAATTGGGGTGCCAGGAGAAGCTGTGCTTCAGTGCCAATCACTTCCGAAGCAGCTCGAACCCCTTCATAGGCTGCCAGTATCTCTTTTTCAGTTGGGGTATAGCTGGCCTCAGATCCTCTGTATCCCCAACTCCAAAAGCCGAGGGGTCGACCTCGAGTCTCCCCTGGAGCTTTCTGCCAGAGGCTCCAGGCAGGATCATTCTCCCCAGCTACAGTGTACAGTACTTTTTTTTATATGTGGCCCGGTCCGGACAGGTCCAAGGGCTACTGCATGAACTGTCTCTCATTTAATTTGCTCAAAGGCTTGTTGTTGCTCAGGGCCCCGTTTAAAATCATTCTTCTTCCGGGTCACATGATAGAGAGAGCTTGCAATCAGACTCTAATTTGGGCTGTGCATTCTCTAGAACCACACAGCATTTAAGAAAGCTTGTGTTTCTTTCTTATTAGTTGGTGGAGACATTGCTGTTATCTTGTTGATCACACCTGTGGGGATCTGGCAACATCCATCTTGCCATATTATTCCCAAAAAATTAATCTCCTGTGCAGGTCCCTTGACCTTACTCTGTTTTATGCCAAAACCAGCTTTTAGCAGGATTTAGATTTAGGATTTTTCTCCCTTTCTCAAAACATTCCACTGTATCATCCCCCACAATAATGTCATCAATGTATTGCAGGTGTTCTGGAGCTTGCCTCTTTTCCACTGCAGTCTGGATCAGTCCATGTCAGATGGTAGGGCTGTGTTTCTCTTTTGCACTTCCTTTGTCAATTCCCCCTTCCCTAGCAAGTGATCCCAGCTGCTTGGCTTCCCCACCTTCTAGTTCATGACCCTTGGACCCATTCTCCCAGCATAGGAGCAACCAGGTGATGATGTGCTCCCCTGGTTAATGGGTAAAATCTTTTTGCAAATTCTGTAGCTCGGTTGTGTTCTGGGGTCAAGAAGTCACCTCTTCTTCTTCTTCTTTTCAAGGCCAGGTTGGACAGAGGCTTGGGTGACATGGTTTAGTGTGAAGTGTCCCTGCCTGCAGGGGGTTTGGAACTAGAAGATCTTAAGGTCCTTTCCAGTCCTAATTATTCTATGATTCTTCCTCTGATCCACATAATAATAACTCCTGATCAGATGCTGTCCTGTGTAGTAAGTGCATTGGTTCTTCATCTTTCTTCACTGTACGAGTTGCTTTTTTTGCCTCTTTTTTGCTTTTCCTCTTGCGTACAGGGGCACAAATTGGTCCTCTAGTTTAGCTGCAGTGATTATCACTGTGGTTGGAGCGGCAGCAGTATCTGTTGTCAGGGTTGGTGCAGCTGCTGTGCTTGGGGTTTGAGTAGCACCAGCAGCTGCTCTGTCTGTTGCTCTCAGGATTTGGTTAGATGCTGTACTTGTCAATGGGATTTGGGTAGATGCTCTACTTGTCACTGGGGTTGGTGTAGCTGCTGTGCTTGGAGTTGGAGCAGCTGCGTTGTCTGGTGCTTTGCCATCAGATCCAGACACATTTTTCCCTTTGAAGGTGCTGGATAGTGTTGAACAGGCCTCTGTAAATATAGGCCAAGCCCCAGCACATTGCCATGATTTGTCCCCTTCTGGTATGACCAGGATGACAACACACCTCATTTAGGTGTTTTACTTATTTTTTCTGGATTTTGCACTCGGTCAGTGATGAAGTTCCAAAGCACTGGAGGGGCCCACTGGCCTAGATACTTGCCCATAATATCCCACACACCCTGCCACTCATGGCTGTCCAGCCTCGGGGAAAATCTCTTGGTCCACCTATATTGCTGTCTAACCCTAGACAAGACCTAAACCCGACTCTGCTTAACTTTCAAGATCAGACGAAATGGTCATGGGTAAAACACACTCTATATGTGTGCCAACATGCTAATCTCCATCAAAACCAGCAGGCAGGTCTCAAGGGTACCCAAAGGGCATTCAAAACCTTCAGAACTCTCAAATGATGCTGTAAATAGTCTGGTGGGGGAGCTGGGAACGTAAAGGAATGTCTCCTTCATAGGTTAATCCCCCGAGGAGAAGAAAAAGATGTGTAATTGCTAAACACCTCCATTATATACCTCCCAAAGTACAGAGATGATGAACACACTGGGAACGCAAGCCAGACCAGTTTCATGATCAATGAGTTGATTGCATTAGAAGTCATTACCATAAGGTACAGCAAAACAAGAACCTTACCGCAAGCCCCCCAGACGATAAACACTAAAGCAGCAAATACCAGCTGTAAGTGTGGTAAGACATG